TGGTCCCCACTCCATTCCTAGCTAGGATACAGTGATAAAGTAGGTGGGACTTGTGGGCAGTTAACACCTGTCAAGGTAACTGAGAAGCCAGAATCACTTTCCAGGTAAACAAGAATCCAGTGTAGGAGGAATGAGGCCTCATGACCATCTTCTCAGTATAAAATTCAGAAATGTACCCCATGTTTACTCTGCTGACCACAAAGAGGAGGAATTAGTTTTGCTTTTGGCTGTGCAAATGGTCCAAACTTTAAAAATAAATCAAGGAACAGGGTAAGACCATCAAGTTAAGTCTCTATCAAAAGTGAAGACTATGACTCAGACTATTGAAGGACTGTACCCAGTGGGTACTCTAGCAATGCATGCATTTTATTAAATGAATAAATAATCTAGATTGATTCTAGAACCTGCTCTCCACAAGGATGACTGTGATTACTTGATACATGTTTGGAAACCCATCCCTTGATTAGGTTATCCATGCCCTTGCTTTCCTGCACATGTCTCACATGAAGAAGGAAGTGGTGGTTGTGAGCTTGGCATATGTATGCCCACACACAACATCACTGGGTAGGTGTGGACATTGCTGGGACCACCTACATCTATTTTAATATTTTCAAATACAGTAGTACCTCAGGTTAAGAACTTAATTCATTCCGGATGTCTGTTCTTAACCTGAAACTGTTCTTAACCTGAAGCACCGCTTTAGCTAATGGGGCCTCCTGCTGTCACCGCACCACGCGCGATTTCTGTTCTCATCCTGAAGCAAAGTTCTTAACCCGAGGTACTATTTCTGGGTTAGCATCTGTGACCTGAGGCATCTGTAACCCAAGGTACCACTGTAGACACACTGCAGGGTAATGCAGAATCAATCTGCAATGAGTCCTGTCCCCCCTCTCCTCCCCCTTTCCCAGATTGAAACCAGTTTAACAGAAAGCACTTTTCATGGGGGGTGGGGATGCAAAAAATCTAGGTTGTGTGTGGACTACATATAAAAAGCAAGTGCTGAGTCCTCATTGATTCTAGAATAAAATGCTATGTTGCACACAGCCTATCCCTATAACTAAGTGCTTACTAACCCAGTTGCAAAATCTGGAAGAACAATGGTGCCCTGTGCTTTCTCCACCCTTCCAGATTTTGCCTTCTTGTCGAATATCATGGATTAGAATGTGACTGTCAGACAGTGCAGGGGAAGCATTCAAAGCTATTTGCCCTGTAGGGTAAACTGTCCACTGAGAATGCTTTGCTATAACCATGTCCTTCTGCTCTCCTTCCCATAAGCCTTACTTCTGGTCTCAGTGGGATTTTGAAGCCAAGCAGCAGGAAGTGTCTATTTTTTCATGGAAGCAGCTGGACAGAGAAGGTGATGGAGATGGAAGCAATGCTTTTCCCTGACCTAGTCCTAGCTAAAAGCATAGGGCACAGTCTAGGTGGCAGGCAGGCACATTTGCTCTGTACTGGGAAGATGAAGAAGAAAGCCATTTGCGCAACAGCAGAGACACATTGTTTTTACGGCCACATTTGCACCTAAATTACCATCAGACCCAGGATCATCATCCATTACCCACTGATGTGAAGAGAAGTGCCAGGCCAGATACCTGCAACAGCTGTTATTTTCCTTGGCTCTTATATTTTTGGACCCCATCTCTGATATGCACATCAGGGACCGGCAGATCTCAGTGACATGGTGTAGTATGTGCTTTAATCCTTCCCACAGAATAGTGACACACTGGAGGCTCCCATATATCTGTATGTATGAAGATACAGATATAGACCATATTATACTGCAGTATCACTTTAAGGAGCCATGGCTTTCTCCAAAGAATCCTTGGCACTGTGAGTTGTTAAAGGTGCTGAGAGTTATAGGTAGGAGTCTCCTCTTTCTCTCCCAGAGCTACAATTCCCAGTCTTCCCTGGGGAGAGGGATGGACTTTTAAACCACACTGATAACTGTGGCTTTGTGAGGGGAATAGGAGTCTCCTAACAACTACAGTATAAACACCCTAAGCAAATTGTAATGACTAGGATTCATTGGGGGAGACATGGTACTACAGTGTCTTATTATTAGTTTTGGGGTTATTAGTTGCCCACTCTTCACCATAAGGTCCCTGGGTGGGTTACATCAACCAAAACACACCATTAAAAACAGTTTAAAATGACTTGCAATCACAAAAACAGGTCCTAAAAATATACACCTCATCAACATCCAGCATAAAAAGAGAGGCGTCTTCAACATTTATTGAAATATGTACAACGAAGGTGCCAGATTCACTTCTGTGGGGAGGCAGTTCCACAACTTAGGGGCTGCCACAGAGAAGGCCCTTTAATGTACAGTGTGGAGGCAGCCACAGTTGAAGATATGGTAGCCCGCTGTCCTTTTTTAGTTTCTCCTGTACTGGACTCCTGCAGCCAAAGCCTGTGTGTTTGCTTTGTGTCAGCTCATCAGGTGCCTAGGAATTGCAATAGTTTTTCCCATCTCTCTCTTTCTTTGGCTCTGTTTCGCCTTTGCCTGTCAGACAGCTTTCTGGATAGTGGAACACAGCTTTTTTATTATTACCTCTTGAAGAACAAAAATTAAATTAACAACACTGAAACAAAAAGGGGGGATCTCACCTAACTTTGACCTCTTTCTATTATGCTTCACACAAGTAGACAGGGAGAGTTCACTCCAGGGCTATTTCTTGGATGGCTGAGAAGAACCTAAACTTTTCACTTTCAAATTAACCTGTCAAATCATATATTCGTTTATAAGGCCAAGCGAACGAGGGGCCGGGATATTATCACACATCAATTAAAGGGGAATTAATTACAATTTTCTAGTCTTAGCACATTAACACTCCCTAAACAATAGAGACGATATTATAGACTTGATATAGGGAGAAGTAGGTAATAACAATGCACTTTGGTGGCATTTCTTGATTGTTGAAATGGCCCTCACAATGCAGGCTTCTTTCTTTGAACTGGATACTACCAGCTTTTGCTTGAATGGAACAGTTTTCTTTCTTTGGACTCATCCAAATTACCTGTTCATTGAGCTTCCACCTTGATTTGTTTCCAGTGAGATTATATGACATTGCATCAAGCATTATCCCACATTTCCCAGAGAATTTACCTGTCACTTTCACTTAAAAAAAACACCCTAATTAATCATTGGTCAACCCCCCCCCCCAAAAAAAACCTAATTAAACTTTGGTTCACACATTAAAAGCTTGTCTCCCAAAGCAGGTTAATGTTCTTTCCAAATTCTTACGCACTTGTGGGCACTGGGGAGGATATTCCTTAAAACTGGGACAACTATTGGAAAGGCCTGCTTTTAGCCCAAACTTGGATCACCTATCTCATCAAAGTATTTCAAAACCAGTACAATCCACTGATCTTAACAAATGCTGGGCCTAATATCCTGCCCTGTATAAAGCCATACCCTCCAACATTTCTCTGATGAAAATAGGGACATTTAAAATAATTCAAATAATTATAATTATAAAATTATAATTATAATTATATCCCACCCATCTGATTGGGTTGCCCTAGCCACTCTGGGTGGCTTCCAACATACATAAAAACATACATAATAGAACATTAAACATTAAAAACACTCCCCTATACAGGTCTGCCTTCAGATGTCTTCTAAAGCTTGTATAGTTGCTTGTCTCCTTGGCTCGGGGATTGCAGCCATACCCTCCAACATTTCTCTGGTGAAAATACAGATGTCTTAAGGAAAAGCAGGACTTTCCAGAATCAATTCAGAAACAGGGAAGGCTTCTGTAAATCTGGGACTGTCCCTGGTAAATAGGGACACTTGGAGGGTCTGTATGGTATAGAATCCATACCAAGCCTGACAAGCAAAGTGCATCAGTCTCTTAGCGCATGACAACATTTTCATTATTTTGCCCTGCACTGACTGCTTGTCTTTATCATTTTTTAATACTTTGGGGGCACACACACACCCCGGACCAATCACACACCACATCTGGAGGACACAACACTTGACATATTTTTCTGGGATGTGACATTTCTAAATCAACCACAGCAAACTTCTGAATGCCACCAGCTGTTCAAGGAATTGCATCTTGTTTCCAGACAGGTGTTGCTGTCTGACTCTTCCAGTTTATTAAATCCCACATTTCCCCTCCATCATGGATTCATGTAGACTCTGAGAACCTTAGGGGTGATCTTTGTGGTCATGTATGCATCAGGTCCTTCTCTCTATACTTGTTTTTATACCTATGAGATGTGAATGGTATATCTGCATCAAGTTACCACTTTTCTTAATATAAACATGACGAAAGGGGAAAACACACACGCAAGTACTCTCTCACACACCTCAATAATAACAGTTTGATAAGTGTATGACATTCTCAATCAACGCATATGTATTTTGCATCCAGTTCTATATCCCAGCTACAAAACAGATTACTTGGTTAGAGCATGGTGCATATTCCTGCATTGCAGGAGGTTGGATTAGACGATCCTCAGGGTCCCTTCCAACTCTGATTTTATGATTCTCTGAATCATTATTCTACTACAGCAATAATTCCTGATAATAGCTGAGGCAGTGCCCACTTCGCAAGGGAATTTAGCAAGCCCTCTGGTTAAGCTGTGCCACCATGCCTGGGAAAGAGTCCAGGTTGCCAGTATTATCCCATATATTTGGCATAGAGCCAAATTATGTGCATGTTTACTGGACTAATGTATTGTTTGGGAATCCAGCCTTGCCTTATGAAGGACATTGCAGCTCCATGTGGTACACTTGGCTCTGCTCTTTATGAGTGCCACACAGAGATAGTTGAAGAATGCTCTTCTTTCTTAGCACCAGATAAGCCCAAGGCATGGTGAGGTGCTTTTAGTAGGCCAGGTCAGCTCTAACAGGCTAAGGCTCTCAGAGCTTTGAAGTCATCTGAGGATGGAGGAGGAGGAGGAGGAGAGAAAGAAGAAGTAGTTGTTTCTTCTGAGGTGATCTCCCTTGGGGATGATGAATTGGTCGAGAAGAGGACCAGAACACGAATGGGCTGTAGCTCAGTGAGTGGTACAGCATCTGCTTTGCATGCAGAAAGTTCCAGGTTTAATCCCTAACAGCTCCATGTAGTGCTAGGAAAGACTCATTGCCTGAAACCCTGGAGAGTCACTTGTCAGTCACTGTAGACAGTACTGAGCTCAATAGACCAATGACTTGACTCATTAAAAGGCAACTTCTTATTATCCTATGCTAATGCAAAGGAGTCTCATTTGCCTTGAACAGACTGCATTGCAGTGCTAAAGTCAGCACTGTGAGGTCTCATCTGTCAACATGTGACAGGGATGGGAAAGAAATCTGCCAAATTGTGGAAGGACCATAGCTTGGTGGTAGAACATATGCTTTGATGGAAAAGGTTCCAAGTTCATTCACTGTCAAAGTTGTCAAAGTTGGGCTGGCACAGATTCCGGCCTAAAACTCTGGAGAGTTGCTGCCAGTCAGTGTAGACAATGCTGAGCTACTTATTTATTTTTAAACAACATTTGTATGTCACACAGTAGAGGCTTAAAATAACAACTAGGTGGACCGATGCTATGACTGAGTATAAGTCAGCTTCCTAACCTCTGGCTGCCTTACAACCTAAGAGGAGCCTTAACGAATTAGCCAAGATTTAGAGGTTTTGAATGTATATGTGTCAGGGAACTGCCATCGGAAGGAAGGGAGGTGAAAGGGCTCACACAGGTTGGGAGAGACTCAGCAGCTGAAGAGGGAACCAGTAGGGGGAGAGGAGCTGAGCTGAGGGAAAGTGAGCTGGAGGGATGGCTCAGAGACACTTCCAGCGAAAACAGTGGGGAGGTTTCAGGACCTCCTGTAGGAACACCCACTCCTCGCCGGAAACTGTCACGCAGAGAGTCCAGAAGACGTGTTTCCGTTAAGGAGCTTTTATGTTGGAAGCGATTCCGAAAGCAACCACTGTCGGAATCTGCTAGTGACTAGAGGAGCCATGTCTGAGGGGCTCCGTCACAGACAGAGGTTTGTGGACTTGAACAAACTCTGAGGGGATACTATTTTACGCACAAGCAGCTCATCATCCCATCACAGCATTCCGACAGTCTTTGAAAGCAGCTTGTGCAGGAGAAGGCATCATGAGCAACCCAGCCGGAACCGGAGAAGCAGGAGCTGGAGCGGGTCCAAGCCTGGAAGAAAGGTACCGGGTGTTGGAGGTCCAGCTAGCGCTGCAGACGGCGAGGCTTGAGGAGAGGAGGGCTCAGGATGCAGACAAAAGGGGAAAGCCACCCAGCTCGCCAGAAAGGTACCAGGATTGGTGCAGAAGTTTGGGGGGGAGCCCAAAGACTATCATGGCTTTCGGACAGAGATGCAATATGCCCTCAATCTGCAGTTTGATGAATTCCCTGACGAGGAATCACGAGTGGCTTTCGTGATTGGGCATCTTGAAAAGGGGGCGAGAGACTGGGTTAGACCCCTGATGGCAGCGAATAGTGACGTCCTAAAGGACACGATGAAGTTCTTTCGCGCCATGGATCTGATGTTTTCCAGCGATATTGAACAGGGAGTGGTGCGCAGACAGTTAATGGCTTGCAAACAGGGGAGCCGATCTGTCCGTGAGTACTGGACTGAGTTCACCATGCTGGTTCACAGATTGGGGTGGGACTTATCGGCGGAACCCATTCAAATGCTCTTTGAAGAAGGGCTTTCTTCGGCTGTGAAAGACGAACTTTCCCGGGCGCCCAGGGCGGAGTCTATGGACCAGCTGACCAAATCAGCGCTGACCATAGGAGCGCGCCAGGAGGCGAGAGCATTGGAGAGGCGGGAAGGGAAGGGGAACGTTTGAAGGAGTTCCGCATTCCAGACATTCCAGAGCCAACTTTCCCGCCGGCAGAGCCGATGGAAATCGGAACAGCGCGCGCGCGCGCAGTTTCAAAGCCCAGTGAGGGGGAAAGAAGGAGGGAAAACGCGCCCGGAAATGCTATCTCTGCCAACAGCCAGGTCACTTTGCCAGAGTCTGCCCCCAGAGGAAGGAATGGCAAGGGATGGTAGGAGCTGTGGAGGGAAGAGAGGAAGAAATACCGGAGCAAGTAAAAGCCAACGCCTGGCTGCCACCGTCGGGGCACAGCAGCCAGGCCAAAGAGCAGTGAGAGTGCCCACGCCAGAACCTCCTAAACCCGCCCTAGTGATAGAAGTGGCGCTAGAGCTGCCAAACGGACACCCTCTAAAGATAAAGGCGCTGTTGGACTCAGGCAGCTCCTGCAATTTCATGAGCAAAGAGTTTGCAGCTGAACACCAGATACAGACGATCCCTTTAAGCAACCCCCTGCAGGTGACCACGATCGATGGCAGGGAGCTGTTGGGAGGAGAAGTCAGCTTGCAGACCGTCCCAATGATAATGAAGGTGGCAAGGCACACCGAACTGATAGCGTTTAATGTGGCCACCTTGGGAGGAGCTCCCATTATATTGGGGATGAGCTGGCTAGCGTTACATGATCCGCTGGTGGGCTGGCATCAGAGAGTGGTTTCTTTTGGTTCAGCACATTGCTTAGAACACTGCAAAGAGGGAAAGGGTTTGGCAGGGGCCCAAGCCACCCTAGCAGGGACTGAAGTAACGGAGAACGTGAAGGTACCACGACAATACGCAGATCTCCGCGACGTCTTCAGCGAAAGGGAAGCTGACCAACTACCCCGCATAGACCCTTTGACTGTCAAATCAATTTACTCCCTGGGGCACAGCTCCCTGTAGGCAAGCTGTACGCCATGTCAGACAGAGAGATGCAGGAGCTAAGAGAGTTCATTGACAAGAACCTGAAGAGAGGGTTCATCAGAGAGTCCAGGGCGGTGGGGGCAGCCCAGTGTTTTTGTGGATAAAAAACACGAACAAGCCGAGGCTGGTGTGTGACTTCAGGGCCTTAAATGCAGTGTCAGAACCAGTGGCCTTCCCTATGCCCAGGATTGACGACATTTTGACAAGGGTGCGGAAGGGAAAGATTTTCACAAAGCTGGACCTAAGGGGGGCGTACAACCTGATACGAATAAGGAAGGGGGATGAATGGAAAACCACCATGTTCACCCCTTTAGGGGCATTTGAATATTTGGTTATGCCCTTCGGCCTACAAGCAGGCTCCGCATGCTTTCAATCGTTTATGAACCACGTCCTGGGGCCTTTGCTTTACAAGAATTGTGTGGCCTTCTTAGACGACGTGTTGGTGTATTCTGAGAATGAGGAGCAGCATGTGAGAGACGTCAGAGAAGTGTTGAGCAGGCTGCAAGCCAACCAGCTGTGGGTGAAACTGGAGAAGTGTCAGTTTCATACCAAGGAGGTGGAATTCCTGGGGTATCGCCTGTCAGACAAGGGATTGGCCATGGATCCCGGCAAGGTCCAGGCGGTGCTGGAATGGAAAACACCCAAAACAAGGAAGGATGTGCAGAGGTTCCTAGGATTTGGGAACTTCTATCGTAAGTTCATCCGAAACTTTGCCCACCTGACGGCGCCCATTACGGACTGTCTCAGCAGTAAGAAGAAGTTCGTTTGGACTGAGGAGGCGGAGCGAGCATTTGAGGAACTAAAAAGGGCCTTCGCCTCGGAACAACAACTCCTGCATGTGGATTTACAAAAACCGATGAGAGTGGAAACTGACGCATCAGACAGAGCGATTGGGGCGGTGCTTCTGCAGCCAGGGAAGGAGGAGTCAGAGTGGAGACCGTGTGCTTTTTTTCGCGAAAGCTGAACAAATCCGAGAGGAACTACACGGTGTATGACCGAGAACTACTAGCCATTCATGAGGCGTTCCGGAGATGGAGGCACCTGCTAATTGGCGCACAACATAAGGTGCAAGTGTGCACTGACCACAAGAACCTAGAGTATTGGAGGACGGCACGAGTGCTCAACCAACGGCAAGTGAGATGGGCCCAGGAGTTCTCCAAATTTAACTTTGAGATTGGTTACGTGCCAGGCCCAGAGAACATTAGGGCGGACGCTCTCTCACGCAAACCTGAATATTTGGAGGGGAGGGAGCACCCGAAGAGAGACATGTCATTCCAGAGGACCGCTGGGTGTGTGGGGCGGCATTGGTGGGACAAAGAGAACTGGTAGAGGAAACAGAGAATGATGAATACGCCCAGAATAAGCTCAGAGGTCTTAGGGGTGAGGGAGAGGAACCAGGGGTTTCGAGGAAAGAAATGGAGCTTTGTATTACAAAGGGGCACTGTATATCCCTGAAGGAGACTTAAGGGGAGGGTACTCAAGCAGTTGCACGACAGCCCTACGGCGGGGCATTTTGGACAACACAAAACCATGTGGTTGGTCACCAGGGAATTTTGGTGGCCTAAGGTGAGGGAAGATGTACGTGAGTATGTAAGAGGGTGCGAGCAATGCCAGCGAGCCAAAGGGGAAAGGCGGGCGCCGGCGGGGCTATTAGAACCCTTACCAACCCCAGAACGACCTTGGGAGGCAGTGTCGATAGATTTTATGACTGATCTGCCGAAGTCCAAAGGGAAAACAGCCATCATGGTGGTGGTAGACCTACTAACAAAGATGTGCCACTTTGTAGCTTGCTCGCATGCAGTCACGGCGGAAGAGACAGCGAAGTTATTTGTAGAACACATTTTTAGGTTGCACGGGGTGCCATTGAGGGTGGTCTCAGACCGAGGAAAACAATTTACTTCCAGGTTCTGGAGGAAGCTCATGAGCTTACTGCAGGTGGAGGTCAATTTTTCGACTGCCCGGCACCCTGAAACCAACGGGCAGGCGGAAAGAGCAAACGGTGTCCTCCAGCAATACCTGAGGTGTTATGTCAATGACAGAGAGAATGACTGGGTAGAAAAGTTGGCGCTGGCGGAATTTGCCTACAACAATGCCGAGAATGTGTCCACAGGGATGAGCCCCTTCTTGGCTAATTATGGGTGTCATCCCAGGGCTTTCCCAGGGGAGATGGGGAGAGATGGAGCGTCCCGGCAGCCGAGCATTTTGTGGAAGAAATGGAAGCAATCCATCGTCAGCTCCAACTCAACTTAGAAAGGGCGAAGGAAGAATACAAGAGGCAGGCAGACAAGAACCGAAGGGAAGGTGAAACCATAAGGGTGGGAGATAGGGTGTGGCTGTCAACCCAAGGGTTG